TGTGGGGGCCTCGTGACAAACTGCAGAAGTACAGACCCCGCTCTGCCAAGCCACAGCTGCACCAAAGGCCTGAGGATAAACAGGACACTCTGTGTCAGAAATGTGATCCTGTGGAGAAGGGTCAGAACCAGTCCTCAGAGGTGGAACAGAAAGCTGGAGATGCTGCAGAGTTGCAGCCTGAACTGAGTGATGAACATGTAAAGGAGAAGATAAGCAAATGTGTTTTGAAGGTAGGAGATGATGAAGAGGAGAAGGAAGCTTCACTTGCCCTGCTGGAGGAAAAACTTTTAAAAAGTGAAGCTGAAGAAGGGCAGGGTACTGCAGAGAATGACAGCACAAAGGAGAGCAAGAAGAGAAAACTGAATGCAAGTTTGGCAGATGCTAAAGGGGATGGATCATTGAAAAACTCTGCTGATATTGAAAACATTTCCCATAATCTGGGAGAGTGTGCAATTGCTGCAGAGATCCCCTCCTCAGACCCAGTGTCCCAGGCAGAAGAGAACCAGGAGGCTCTGAAGGAAGATGATTCAGGCACCAAAGAGCCGGCGGCGCCGGAGGCCGCGGATGCGGCCGTGAAACGCAGGAAGGTTGATAAAAAACCATCCAGAGGCAAACAAGTGAACTTGGCCATAAACCTGAGCATGGGGCCCTCAGCCTCTGGTGCCAAGGCAAATCCATCTGCTGCCAACGGTGAGGCTGGAAAGGAGAGTGTCAGTGGGGAAAATGCAGCTGTGGCCGTGCCAAGTGAGAAGGGAGGTGGTGATGCAGGTGGTGGGGCTGTGAGACCCCCAGCTGCCTCCAGGCCCCCCAGGACTGGCTGCATTGCTCCAATCAAGGATGGCTGGAAGTCCAGTGGAGATCAAGACTCAGCAGGGGGTGATCAGCACCACTGCAACAGCAAACTCCTGGGGAGTAAAAGTGAACTAGACAGGGTAGGACAGCAGGAAAAGGTGGAAGAGGCAGGTGAAAAAGGGCAAGATGGAGACACAGACAAGAAACAAGCTCCAGAGAGTCATGAGCAGAGCATAACACCCACTTGTCATGAACAAAGCAGTGCTGAGGTGCCACCAGAAAAAGGTGAAGGCTGTGAGAATGGAGCAGAGCCTGGAGAAGAGCAGGGAGCAGCAGAGTGAGAGCAACACAGCAAGCACCTGAGCCAACAGAGATGACACTGCCCTGTCTGCTGGGAGCCAGCTTTGGTGGCTTGGAGAACTCAGTAAACTTCCTTTGGGATGATCCAGCTGGCCCCTGTCTCACTTTCACTCTTCCATGATTTTTTAATCATCTCTAGTAAATTCACTGAGCTCCAGCTCTTGATTACCCTAAAGAGGAAAACTTTATTAAATAGTCATCTTCACGGACAGGCTGTGTCCTGTTGCTGGGTTTTATCTGATGTTCAGGGCTATCTTGGAGCAACGGGGATTTCTGCACTTTGCTTTGATTATGGTTATGTCCCTACTGAAAGAGAAGATGAAAACTGATCTGTCTCCTTGTTTGAATTACCTAAGTATTTATTAAAGACACGATTTTTAATGTCAGACAGCATGACCTAATCTGCCAGGCCTTCCTACTGCTATGTAACTTCTGTTTGTTATTGTGAAGGGCTGTACCTTCCCAGGAGTTTTTTCCTGGTAAAAGTGCTGTTTCTCTAAAAGAGATGAGTATATGGATTTCACATGATGTCAGTGTAGTTGCCTCTCCTCCTATAAGGAAAGTAGGTTTGGCTTTAAACTGGGATAACTGTAGCCAAAGTGTGTCTCTGATCAGTATGAATCTTTGGGTAGAGATTCTGTTCTCTGAGGTGCAAAGTGCTGGGTAATTATTTCTCTTTATGCCCACAGAGATTGCTTTGTAGTTCTTGTCAGAGTTAAGACTACAAATTGCCTGCTGGTTTCTAAGAGAAAAAGCTCCAGGTTTTGCATAAAACTCTTTAGAGATGCTCTTCCCCATGTTTTCCAACCACTTCATAGTCTTCCACAGATTTTTTTCTCCATGACTGTTTCAGAGGTCCTCATTTCTCAGTTGCCAAAGCAGCACAGATATTTCCCAGTGCATTTTTTTCAGCCTTTGCTGGTAATTTGCAGTGGCCTGGGGGGCTCTTTCCTGCAGGCCCATGGCGTGAGGTTTGATGTGTCAGATCCAACCTGTTTCCTACTTAGGGCAGGGTTGCTTTGCCTTTAATGTCAGACAGCCAGGGCATGTTCCAGTGCAGCATGTCTGGAAACCACTGGGCTTTGTGGGGCAGTTAATTGAAACGTTAATTGGAGAGGCTATGCTTGTCTGCTTCGTTTATTTCCAGCCCTGAAGAATTTACTTTCAGACCTTGCCAGCTCTTTGCCTGCCTCTGTTCCTGACCTCCCTGTCAGCTGTTCTGCCACACTACACAATATTCCACCAGGTCTGAAGGAGCATTAAAACAGTTTAGCACCTTCACTCCTAAAGATTTACAACAGAGGATCTGTGCCATGAAGCAGAAGAAATTGTTTCCAGCAGCCTGAAGGTCTGGACTTGCTGTTTGCTCAGGTTGTTTGGGTTGGTTTGGAGGTTCTTTGGTGCTGTTTGGTTTGTGTAGGAGATGGCCAGGGAGCAGATGCAGCAGCTTGTGCAGTGTCACTGTTTTTCCTCTCTGCTACAGCTCTTAAGAAGCTTTATCTTTCAAGGAACTGGAGGGGTGATTTGCCTTCCCAGACTGTAGGTTCTGATCCAGCGTGCCACATGTGTGTGGGAATAAAAGTCTGCAAGCTAACATCTGATGTTCCTGGTCACACACGTACTGAAAAAAGGCTTTAATGTTTTTAAAATACTTCTTAAGAACAGATGGAGGTAAATAGCCAATAAGAATACACTTAATTACAGATAGAAATACTTGAAGATGTTGAGTGAGAATTCTTTCCTAACAGATTCCTAAGAGTTGTTAATTGTGGCTTTTGTACAGATTTATAGTAATTTTCTTATTTAATGAAATTTTCATTGTGAATATGTGCTCAATTGGGGCATAGATCCTATATCTTTTATGGTTTTGTGTTTAATGGGATTTCACCCTGAGCCCCAGCCTGGAGTGAGTGCTCAAACCACCCCCTTCCCTCTCCTCCCAGGTTTCCTTTTGGCTGTGGTGTGTGTGGTGAGTTCACAAGGTGTTTGCCAGCACTCAGCTGTATCACAGAGTCTGTTATGTTCATTCCCCTATTAAAGCATGACTTCAATGCATATCTGTTTCTTTTATGTTTTTTCATCTTTGAGGGTAGGATGTGACCATGTATTTACCCACCCCCCTGGAGCCATGAGCTGTTGCTGGGATCCCCCAGCAAGAGGTGCTCAGCTGGGCTCACCATGGCACACAGCTGCTGTTTATTCCCTGTGGAGGTGATGCCCAGTCTTCCTCCACCTCTAAAACATGCCCAGTGAATGTTTTAGGGGAAAAGATCCCCCCCATGCTGTTTGTTTATTGATGTGCTTGGAAATCAGAATTGCAGAATGGTTTGGGTTGGAAGGGACCTCAAAGTTTATCTTGGGGCACCTCCCACTGGACCAGGTGCTCAAAGCCCCATCCAGGCTGGCTTTGAACGCTTCCAGGGGTGGGGTGTCTGCTGCTTTCAGAATGGTTTGCATTGTTTTTGCAGCTCTTCTCCCACAGGTGTTGTGATGCTCTGCAGAGCAAACCAGGACTCTGCTTGGAGCATCACCTGGGGCTCCTGCCCAGCCTGGCTGTGGGAGCTTCAGCTCAGGGTTTTTTTCCCCTCAGGACACAATAGCAGAGGTGTTTTTGTGCTAACATTTCCTCTAAGTCATTGTGTCCCCTCAGCTGTGCTGCCTGTGCCTGTGGGATGGAGGATTACTGGAAATCCTTCTGGTCTGTGGGATGGTCTTCAAGGTGAACACTCCCAGGGCCCTTCCTGAGCTGGTCAGGGGCAGGCTCCACCTGTGCAGCCCCCAGGCCCTGGCTGGCTCTGGACAAGGTGTGGATGAGAAATTTGGGTCTCCTTTGCCTTCCCTCCTGCCACCAGTTGGCCTCAGTGTGAGGAGGAGGTACAAGCTGTGCAAAGCTGCTCTCTCTCTTCGGGGTTTGGGCTGTCTAATAAAGGATTCCAGTTACTCTGAAGCCATCAGAAGGCTTGGAGACACACCTTGCCTTTCTGTCCCCAGCTGCCTGTTTCACAGAATCTTGTGACAACTTGGTAAATCTGAGTCCTTTATCCCTCTGCCAAAGCTCCAGGAATGCTGGCTGCTGGAGATCTGGTCAGACAAACACTGTGCTCCTGCAAGCCTCCTGTTGTAAAGATGCCAAGCTAAAATCAGGTAGTTCAGTTCCTAAGCTTTGCTTTTCCAGTTCTCGTGTTCCTACCCAGATGAGCTGTGTCATTTCAGCCCTGAGGCATCTGGCCACTGTTCCTCTCCACTTCCAAGCCCTTCTTTGAATGAAATCACCTTTAATCAATAAAGGGAATTGTGAAGCTCATTGCAGGAGATGCATCTTCATGAATCTATTGCCATATGGGATCACCAGACAGGGAATTCTCCTTCCTTCCTCACAGTATTTCAAATATTTCTTTGTGCCTTTGAGAATGCTCCTCCTTTTTCCTTCCTCCTTGTATCTGTCTGTGCTTGTCTGTTTTCTGACCAGCATTCATCACTTCTCAAGGAATCAGTGCTCTTCAGATCACTTTAAAAAAAACCCTTTAAACCAGACGTGAACAACCTCCAGAGCTAACAAAGCACCTCGCTAGGCAGTAAGTGCATTTCTCTGTGGTGATTATGTTACAGGTTTCTTAATGTCCCTGCTGCAGTTAGGTGGCCTCGGGCACTGAAAAACTCACCCTGTGTTCCTTTTTACCTCTCCAGCACAGAGGTGGTGATGGGCTTTGGGAAATATCCTGGGTGAGACCTAGGGAACAGCTTTGTGTTTGCAGCTGGAGTAACCCAGATTGGCTCCTGTGTCCCATCTCCCAGTGCAGCCCCTGCAGAGGCTCCTGGAGCAGGAGGCTGGGGCTGCCCAGCAGGGCATGAACGAGAGCTGCTCTGCTGCTCCCCCTCCTTCTCCCACCTCCTCTGCTCCAAGCTCGGCCCCTCTCCCTTGCTCCAGCTGGAGCCACAGGTTTATCTGGAGGCGAGGAGCCTCTGCTCTGTAAGCTGAGAGCCGCGAGGAGGAGGAGGGATCTGCTGGACCCTGGAGGAGAAAGGGTTTGGCTGCCTGGAGGAAAGGGAGAGAAGCAGAGCCTGGGCACCATGGCTGGAATCTCTGCTCTTGGGCTCCTCTCCCTGTGTCAGCTCTTGGCCACAGCATCAGCTCAGGTGAGAAACCTCATTTGTGTCTCGTGCTCCAGGGAAAACCTGTAAGGGTAAAAAAGTGTGTGTTGTACCTGTGGGGTGAAACGTGGCAATAGGCAGTGATTACTCTGAAGTTTATTACAAATGTGCACCTGGTTTGTACCTGTGTGGGTAGGTGTAAAAACTGCTGCTTTCTGTTTCTGTAGAAGTGGTGTTTTCCCATTCAGGACTGCAATTATGAGAGGGAAAGCCTTGGAAAGGGCAGATCTTTTGATGCAAGAGAAATAGTTTGCTTTTTCAATGAAGTAACAGATATCCAGCGAAACTGATCTGATCTGGGTCTTTATCTGAATCAGAATTTCTTACTCATTCCCTCAATCAATTTTCAAATTTTATACTTAACAGCATGTTTAACCCTTGCTCACTTGAGACATGAAGCTGTATTAAACTTCCCTGTCTGTGTTAATGTTATTGTCTGGGGAAGTGACTCCTCGGTGAGTTTTTCATTGTTAGTGAGGAATTTTTGCAGCCTGGCTTGGGAATTCAGAACTCTGCTGTGAGCAGAGCTGCTTCTACAATGAAACCTTTGTTCCCTGAAGGTACAGTCAGTTGCTCTCTGGAGCCCTCTCCACACAGAAGTCATTTATTGGACCTTTCTCTCCTTCCCCCCACCTCAGACCTTTCCAAAATCCCAGATTTTCAGGGGGCACTCTGCTCAGAAAGGAGACTGTCCCTTTCTCCTCCTGTCTTCACTGGTGCCTGCCTGGCTTTGCCATCACCCCATCAGACTGGGGCTATAAATTCATTATTTCTACCAACAACTCTGCACCTTTTTCCCTGGGCTTTGCATTTCCTCCTCTGCCCAACCCAAAACGTACCTGTAGTCAGAGCAATTTCTTACACAACAAAACCCCTTTTCTGCCCAGTGTCCAGCTTGCATTCCCAGTATGAGCCACCAGTAAAAGGAGCTGGGATGTGCTCAGTCAAAAGGGTTTTCCAAAGAGCCTTGCCCTGCTGTGGAGCAACTCTGAGCCCACCCAGGCTGGCAGGGGGTGCACATTTAGGGTTAAGCTGTAGGATTTTGCCAAAGATTTCTGATTAGCCCATGTCTTCCTTCTGATGGAAAAACAAGCTCTTGTCTCCCACTTTTCCCCAGTCCCTTCCAAGAATTGGACCACAAGGGCCTCCTGGACCAGCAGGACCCCCTGGACCATCTGGCAAGGACGGCATTGACGTGAGTGACACAGGGCAGGGCTGGGCCAGGGTGGGGCAGAGGAGCTGCTCCTGCTCTCCACATCTGCAGCCTCTGGGGAATGGACCTGGAAAATCACTGTCCTGTTCTGCAGGAGGCTGAACAGCCAGAGGAGCCGCTGATCTTTGCAGGATCAGTCCCCTGTCCCCAGTGGAGAGCTCGGGGATTTGTGACCTGCTTGCAAAGTAGAATATTTCTCTTTTTGTGCAGGGTTGAGTGCAGGGGTATGATGTGTGTGGGGTCAGCACACGTTCAGCAGTTCAAAGACAGATTTATGTGATGCTTCAGAGCATCTGCATTTCTAGAGAGGCTACAAGAGACTCAAATATGCAGCACTGGACACTGCTTTTGTCTTGTTAGTTTTATTCCAATATTGTCATCACGGTTATCCCTCACTTTGGCACAGGATGTGTCAGGATCTGGCTCTTGTGTTGCCAGACATGAGTTTGTAGTGGCCCAAAAGGCAAATACAATGAAGAGCCTTTGTTTCAGCAGGCAGCTCCTTACACCTCCTGCAGAGGGAGAAGGCTACATAACCCAGGACTTAATGGAGGAAAAGATCCTTTTCTGTTACTTTTAATTGATGTTTCCATGGAAATTAAAAATATTGCTTCTGTGCATGTGTTGGATAAGGACTGAATTGTGTCCTGTAGTTGGCAGTGGATAAAATGAGCATCAGCTGGATCTTCAGCAAGACCACATCAAATGCTAAATCTGGGTTCCTGCTGTGATTTCCAGTTTGAGCAGCTCTTGTCTCTCTGAGCTGCCTATGGAATAGTGCAGGGGGTTTTAGAGCTCCTCTGAAGTACATTTATTGGAATTGGGCCCTTAAGCAACCTTGAAAAAATCTATTCATTCCATGTAGATAATTTTCTTTTGAAAAGGAGGTTAAAAAAAAAAAAAAAAAAGGTATGAGTTCCCTGGTACATGGGGAACAAGGAGTGTTTGTGCCTGCAGTGGGGAGCTTTCCCTGCAGCTCCCTGAGCCAGGCTGGGCTGAAGAGAGAACCTCATTGATTCCCTGCTGCTCCCTCGAGTGTCCTTTTGGCTAAAGGAGTCTGTGTTCCTGGGCATCTCCCTCTGGTTTTGTGGTGTGAGATGTTCAGAGCTGACAACTGTTTTTTGTGGTGTTTTTGGTGGTGTCACAAAAGGCCTTGGGGGACACCCCAGAAGAGGGCAAAGGACACTGGTTCCAGTTTGCAGCAGGGCATTGCTGTGGCCAGCACACTTTGGGAAAGGCTGGCTGTGATCCACTGTGGAAGCAAAAAGAGGAGTTTGGGAAGGATAAAACCCTTCAGGACTTCAAGTGTCAACTTCTGCAGAGAGGAAATGGGAAAGAAACCCTGTAGTTGTTCAGTTCCTGCTTTCCACAGGATATTTAACTCCAGAACAGCACCAGCATGGCTTCTGATTGCTCCTGGAAACAGGAGCCCAGGGAGGTGTCAGTCATGTGGACCTACTCCCCTTTATCCACAACTAAAAGCTTTGGAAGGCTCCCCGTGGGAGAGGCTCAAATAACAACATCTAATTAATGTGAAGAACTTAGTCCTGATAAATCAAATGGCTGGGTGAAGTGTTTAAGGTGCAAAGTCCTGCAGTCCCAAATTCACCCTGGAGATTTGGCTGCACAGAAATAATCTCTAATTTGAACAGACTTGAGCCCACCCCTCCTGTGGACAGAGGGTGTCAGGAGCCCTGTTCAGGTGAGATGGTCTGGCTGTCCAGGGAAGGCTCCAGGGTGGTTCCTGCTCTTCAGCAGGACACTGAGTCCTTCCAGAACTTGCACAGGAGGAGATGTTGGGCAGTGCCTGGTGTTGAGCAGTCACACAGCCTCCCTGCTTACAAGCTGCCTTTTTTTTTGTCAGTACACTCCAAAAAATGATGGTAAATAAAATTCAGCACTGTTCTACATTTTCCTACTGCTGCATGTGGATCCTGAGTGGCAGTGTCAGTTATGCCACCGCAGAGTGAAACCATTATTTTTCTTTTGGTGCTGAGACATTTTTCTTAAATTGCAGTTGAAAATTTTCTGCACTGTGTTCCTGAACTCTGTAAGCCACTCCAGCCAGGTCACTGTGACAGGTGATTTTGGATTTAAGTGGTGTGGAAGTGCTGCTGGGTGTCTTTGAGCTGGGTGAGTGCTGCTGGGGTGTTCTGCAGTCAGCTGTGAGCACTGAGAGGTGCAGAGCATGCAGCTGAATTATTCAGGATATCTCCTTGGATGAACTCCATCAGCACAATTTCTCAAAGGTCCAGCTTTCATCTCTGCCTTTCAGGGGGAGCTGCAGCATTAAGTCCCTCTGAAATATTCTATAATTAAAGCCTTTAACAAGCTTCTTGTTTCATACCCAGTAACAAGCAAAATCTCTCCCAAGACTAGAAACAGCATGTTTTGATGGAAAGAATTAGTGACAAGTTCCTGTGAATTATTTCTGGAGATGTAATTCCCTAAATTGCTAATAAGCAATTGTCACTTTTCAAAAATCAAGCTGCTTTTTTTTTTTCTTCTGCTTTCTCTCTCCTGGCTTGACTTGCTGAGAAAGAGTAAACTTCCACATAGCACCAGGAGAGCATTTCCTTCTGCTGACAGCCCTTGCTCTAATTCCCAGTGACCAGGCACTGGGGGTACATGCCCTGATTAGGCTTTGGGTTCAGCTCTCTGAAGTTCTGGTGCTCCTGCAGGGCTCCACCACAGCAGGATCAAGGTTTGGGATGGTCCCCAGCAGCCTTTGTGGTGCTGTGACCTCCCCGTGCAGATTCCCACCACGGAGGAAAGGAAAAATGCAAGGGGCTGGCAATCCCAGGTGCTGGAGGAGGGAGCAAACCACCCCTGCAGCCATTTCCAGCTGCCTTTTCATTTCCAAAGAACTGCTCCTTTCATTTCCTGGGCTGGGAACCTTCCCCAGCCTGCTATGATAACTATTTATGGAAAAGCTGTGGGCAAGGGACACTGAAGGAGTTGCTTCAGCAAGTCAGAGCATAAAGATTCCTCTGTTCAGGGCCCCTCTGGCTGGTCAGTGGGGCAGGACATAAATCCTGAGCAGCTCCAGGCTGGGGGGATTTGCCCCCAGCCTTCCCAGTAAATATAGAAACATGCTGTAAATCCCCCAGCTCTGCACACACATCCTGCACCCTAATTAGCAGCCCCGTGGTGGGATGGTGCTATTTCCAGCCTTGCTCTGTCAATAACCACCCTCTTGCACAGAGATTTTCTCCTTCCAGGGCTGTGCCTTCCCTTCTGCTCCCCCACAATAGCTCTCAGAATATTCAGTGTATTGCCCTAAAGCCAGGAGGGCAGGGTACCCTCTGGACTGGGACACAAAGTGTTTTTCTCTGGGATGAGTTGGAAACCAAACTCCCGTCAAGCTCCTGCTGTTCACAAATATTTGCTTCTTTTGGGGTCTAACAATAAAAGATAATTTTTTGTCTGGAGTCCACACACACACTTATGAATGGCATTACAACTGGCTGAGCTGGAAGAAGGGTTGCGAGACAACAACAAAATGTTGTCTCACAAACACTTTTAGTGCTGTTCTTAAAAGTTTCTTTTTATTACAATAGAGAAAAAAATAGAGTGTTTTTGAAATATTGTATGAAAAATGTGTTTAATCCAAATTGTGCAATTGGATTAGGTGGGAATCAGCTGGGGGCTGTGCTTATTTGCTTTCCCTGTCCAGGTTTAGTCATATGAAGGAAATCATTGTAGACAGTTTGTTCATTCTTCACTTTGTGGTGTAATCCCCAGCTCCTGGCAGTGCCACAGCTCCATACTGTGCCCTGGAAAGCTGGAGCTGATCCCTGAATCAGCAGGAAGATGTTTGGAAGCTGTGACACCCATCAGCTTCCTCTCTGCCTCACTTGCAGCCAAGCCCAAGTGCAAATAAATTCTAACCATGTCGGGAAGAAGCTGAAAGCTCTGGGGGCAGTGTTCAGGAGCAGTGGTTCTCTCTGGGGGGCTGGGGATGTGGATTTCCCTAAATGTGCTACTGCAGATGTTGGAAAAGGCTATCCAGGCTCGTCCTGCTTAGGGGGCAGCAGGGTTCAGAGCATCAGCTCATGAGACTGAGCCAGGTGAATCCTGGAGGGGCACGAGGAGAGGTTTGAGTGCAGCTGGGAACACCCTTGATGGGAAAAGGCAGCAAAGACAGGTTCAGCACTAACACTTTTTCCTCTTTCCTCTAGGGAGAGCCAGGCCCTCCTGGTTTGCCAGGCCCACCAGTAAGTATTTCCTGCTTGGTGTTGACTTGTCCCTCCTTTCAAGAGGACACAGGACATGAGCTGGCACTTACAGCCTCAATTTCCTCTTCACCTGCCACAGAAATCTCAGGAGTGGGGATGCTCAGGGGACAAACACATTCCCCTGCTTCACTGCTATCAGTGAAACAGAATGAAAGTTAAACTAATGAATCAGATGAGATAAAGCTTGTTCCTGACCTGTATGGGGACAGGTGTCATGGCACCAGGCCACGTTACATTTTTGGCACTGCTCTGATCCTGCTTCAGCCCCTCAGCCTGCCAGGGGTGCTCAAAACTGTACCAGATGCAGAGAGAGCCCTTTGCTTTGGCCACTTACTGCATCCCTTCCTACCCCTCCTAAGAACAGCTTGTGAGCACGTGGGAATGAGCCAAAACACTGAAATTTAGGATTTTGATATGGATTCATAGCAAGATTCACCTCTTTTCATGGGATTCTCCCATGTTGCATGGTGTAGGATTGACACATAATAAATGAGTTCCATCCTTGCCACATTTCTCCTGTTATTTTGTTATAATAATTGACTGTTTACCTCATGTAGGGGCCAAAAGGTGCACCAGGGAAGCCTGGAGCTGCAGGTGAAGCTGGATTGCCTGGCCTTCCTGGAGTGGATGTGAGTATTTTGTCATCTTCTCTTAGGGTTTTTTAAACCCTTCATCTAGGCAGGAGTGTTTTCCTGAGGTGTCTCACCAACCTTCTCTGTGCCTACTGGAGAAGGAATGGGAGTCCTGGACCTACATCTGTGTCTTGTATGTCGAAAGAAATTGAAGGAGAAGCAACTCTAGGCTGAATTAAGAAATATGAGAGCAATTTTGAGATGTGTTGCTGACAGGATGGCACTCTGTTGATCTTTGGGGTTCTTTTTTTACAGGGTTTAACAGGAACTGATGGCCCACCTGGCCCAAATGGGCCTCCAGGAGACCGTGTGAGTACCTCATTGCTCCCCAAGTCCCTTTAAATGGCCATTGTCACTGAGTGTGGGGATGATTTTCACATTCTGCTGTAAATTGGTGATATTCAAGTGTTGATTCTGATGTAAACCCTTGCAGAATACTTGGATCCTTGAAATGCAGTCCCAGGTGGTTTTTCATTAGGCAGGGCGTGAAATCCACCTTTCCTTCACATGGCTTTGAACCTGCTTGGGTTGCCTCAGTGGTGGCTGTACTGGGGATATTTCAAGTACCCAAAAAGTTTCTTGAGGCAGTCAGCAGACTCAATGGTGAAGTTTATCAAAATGAAGTTATTTTGGCCTTTATTTGCAGTCTGAGTTGGCAGACCTGTGTCGTTTATAATTAATGCTACTGTGTATTAATTGTTTGAACTTTTGCCTTTTATTACTTCTGGAACTGTCCATATGGTTGCATTATTAGTTGCCATAGTGTTCCCCAGCCAGCCCAGCAAGAAATAAGAGTTTTTTTCTGCTTTCTGCATATTCTAGCTCTGCTGAGGGGCACCACAGGGACAGAGAAGCAACTGCCAGAGATGATCCAGATGTCCTTGAGATCATCCACAGCCATCACCCCTCTTAGGACTCCCTGTGACATTAAGGAATAATCATTAACGAGCCACTCAGCACAGATTGTGATCCAGCATGGCTGTTCCCCTGTCTCCCAGATGGGAATATAAGGCTTGTGTCCACAGCTGGCTTGGTGGCCTCTTTGACTCAGGGCTGCAGTGAGGAGCTGGATTTTTGTCACCTGTTCAGTATATCCCAATAATCCCCTTGTTGCCCCAAGGACTTACTCAAATCTAAAAAATCTGTGAGTTATTTAAGGGGATGAGCAGCACAGCCATGTATTTGTGGTATGCTCTTCTTCCTTTCCCGTGTCACAGGCAGAGTTTGTGTGGCCACTTTCAAAGTTGAGTGGCAGGACCCAAATGTGGTCACAGCTCCAAGCCTCTGTCCATCACCACCACCCTAAACCCCACTCCTTTTCTGTCCCTTGTGCCCATCTTTCTCCCCAGAGATCCAGGCCTGCAAAACCCTGGCCACTCTCAGACATTGTGTGGCAAGAGCCCAGCAGCACCTGGGAACAGATCCCTGATTTTTAAAGGAGGGAAGCTCAGGACCACCTGTGCAAGGCTGTGAGCAGTTCTGTGCCCTGTTTGGGGCTGGGTGGCTGTGCTTGCCCATGCCCACCTCAGCACACAGCTCCTCCTTGCAGGGTAATTGAGCAGAGGGTTTTTGGGCACAGAAATTCCTCTCTGGCCGCCGGGCAGGAGCCCCAGCCCGAGCTGCCCTCGCCACACGCTCGGCTTTGCTGGGCTCTCCCTTTTCTTATAACTCACTCTGGCAGCATGGGACACGCCTGGGACCCCTCGTCATTTATGGGAGCTTTTCAAGGTCACTGCTCCATCTGGGAAATTGTTTTAATTGGTCTGATAAAACCTGGGAAGAGGGAAGACCTCAGAAAGCTTTAGCACTCTAAACGGAGCGTTGTTAGCCCGGCTTTTTTTCTCCATCTTGTAGAACATATCTCAGTCTTGCAGGACTCACTGAAATAAGCTGTTTACTTATTGCTGTGGGTTTGAATTAATGTTTAACACTCTGATTTCTTCCAAATAAGCTTAATTTTTTGAACCGGAGTGTCTGAGAGCAAAGCTGTTTAGCACAGGCAAGTGGGCTCATGGAAGACAGTTTTCAGTAATGATTTATTGCCAAACATTTCTGAAAAGATTTTTATCTTAAATATCTCCTGCTGCTCTCAGCATCCATTAGCTTTTCTCCTGCTTCTGCTTAAAGACTGATTAGATCAAGTCTGCTTGTTTTTTTAATTTTAAAACCCCTTTATTTTTAGCTGAGGTTGAGCTGGGTCCCGACCTCCCTGTTAGGAACTGGTGTCTTTCCTTGGAAAGTTCTCAAAGGCCGTTTTGAAGTTTGTTGCTTTCCAATGAAAGCAATAAGGAAAACATAATTATTCACTTCTATTTATGAATGTCATAATAATCAAGTGTTTTCTACGCTCCATAGCTGTCTATTCACAGAGTAAATTACTACAAAATGAAAAATTATGATGATAGTGTTTTCTAATCAAAAGAAAAAGAACATTGTTGGCAGGAGAATGAGTCAAGTCAGAGAATGTTATTAAAATTGAGATGTAAATTAGAGTCTCTCCTTTGCCTTAATGCAGTAGCATCAGCTCATTCAGGGATTTCACAATCTCTTACCAGGAATGTTCACTGGTGCATTCTGCACCTTACACCCTCCAAGGTGTCAGAATTAGGGAGTGTAAAAGGCCAGCATTTGGCATTTTGGGTGCTCTGCCATCTTTCTGGCCTGTTGGACAAAGCAGAAAGGGGCCATGCAGCTGCCTTCAGAACTAGGTGCAAGTGAGGAGGTGCCAGGAATTCAATGTTTTCCTTGCAGGAGGAGATCCCAGCTTGTCCCTTACAGCCAGCAGTGGTTGTGAGCATTTTTAGCCTGCAGATAAAAGTGACTGGAGGCAGAGCAGAGTAACCTGCAGCAGGAGGAATGAATGAGCTGACATTCACAGCACAGCTGATTTTTATTGGATTACTGTCCTCTGCTCACAAGACCACTCTTAACAAGGCCTTGGGTCCTCTGTGTCTTTCTCCTTAAATTTAACAAGAGAAAACATTTCTAATCCCCTTTGGCCCACAGAGCAGGAGCAGAGGGCAGCTGTCATCCCTGGGGGCACAGTGGGAGCTGTGTGTGCTGGGATATTCTCCAGGTCAGCTCTTCCACCTTGTTCTCCTGGTCCCAGGGGCAGACACTCTTTAATTCCAGCTCAGGAAATCTGCTCGAGATGTTTCTGTGCAGCATTTTGGGGTTGCTTGGGAAGGAGGTTTGGGCTGGGGAGAGGCCATGGAAGCTTTGTCCCTGTGCAAGGAGATGTCCCTGCTTTGTCCTGCACCCTGGTGCCCTGGAAGCTGTCCCTGGGGGTGGAATGAGGTGATCTTTAGGGTCCCTTCCAACCCAAACCAGTCTGGGATGCTGTTTCAGAATTATCACCCATAATGAATTTCACAGCCTGCTGGCCAGCTGGCAGCTGTGCAATGCAGCAAAGGGGTTAAAGGAGATCTCTCTGTGTTCTTATCTTCAGTCAAGCAGGAATTCACAGCTTCCAGAGTGACTTAATTCCAGTCTAAGCCATGAGCTCACCAAGCTCCAGTCAAGCCTAAGAGCGGGAATGCAAACTGGGAAAAGGAGATGGGGGAGTTGCAAAGGAAGCAAGTGAAGAAGCAGAAGCTGCCAAATCTTTGGCTTTACTTGAAAGGAAAATAGATGAGTTAATAAAGTTCACTAGAACAAATCCAAATTCTGTTAATAGTTTTAGGAAACTTAGTAATTGGATCTACAATGTGAATGTATTATGAATGAGAATATTTCAAGTAGATAGAATTCAAGTTATGAACATTTAGATATTCATGGAGGATATCTAGACATTCATCTGAGGCCAGCTGGGACTTCCAGAGTAATTATCCATAAGTTTTTGTCCTTATATGTGTGAATTCAGCTGGGCGTCTCCATTTGTGTCCTGCTTCTGCAAGACACTGCTGGAGTTTCCAAGGAAAGGGTGGTGTCAAGGAGAGCAGGCCTTGGTGACTCCCCGTGTGGGGGTTTCTCTTTTATCCCTGCTGATTTCTGTCCTGTTTTATTCCCCCAGGGTGCATTAGGACCTGCTGGGCCACCTGGACCAGCTGTAAGTACCTCCAGAGCAGCTCATATGATGAAAGTGTGGAATGTTGTGCCAAAGCCATCACCAAGAGAGGATGGGAAGCTTTGTATCCCAAACAAAAGGATCAAAGCCTGAATGAGTGAATATATTGTTTGAAATGTTTAAATAGTTAAATGTGACATGTTCTGGTAACACAGACCTGGTTTTATTCTCTGAGGTGCTGCAAAAACAAACCAGCTTGGGATATAGACTGACTTATCAAATGCTATCACAATTATTAGACATTATCCAATGTCTAATGAAAACCAAAGGGAAAAGGGAGAAATAGATAAACTGGAATGTTGTCATCCTCTCCATGTCCCACTCTTGTGCCACCACACATCTCTTTTCTCACAGACGTCTCATAGGTAACAGAGATGGAAAAGGAATACAAATTATTACAGGCAGCAAAAGAATTCATCAGGACTCTAATTGCAAATTATAATCATTATAATGGGGCAAGGGAGTGCTAAGGAAATTTAGAACAAAAAAAAAAATAGCAGTATTTTTTTAGGTTTTCTTTTATTCCTGTGTGCTCAGTTCCTGAGTGATCTTTTACTGTTTCAAATGTTGTTTTCAGGGCAAAGGACTACCAGGACCTCCAGTAAGTAATAAGATTTTTTTTTTCAATTATAAATTAAGATTCTGATTTTATTGGATACCCTGAGTATTGCAAACCCACCCCAGGCCTCAGGTCCTTCTACTGTGCCAGGGGTCCTGCAGATCATTGACCCTGTGGGGTTTTTATCCTTGCCCCCACCCTGGGGGCAGGCTCTGGTGTAAACTCAAGGCACAGCAGCCATGTAAACAGTGGGAGTGACCAACCCTGGGGCAGCTTCTGTTTGGTGGGCTCCCGGGAGCTGCCCTGTGCCTGAGGGATGCAGATTGGCAGGGAATTCCAGGGGAATTTTTGGAGTGAAAAGCAAGATGTGCATTGGGGAGCTGATGGTCTGGGCAGGATGGAGCTCCTTGGGATTGGGCAAATGGGGACAGCCCAACTGATGCCTTAAGTTTTGGCTTTCATATTTTCCAGATTCTGTACTGCACTAGTGTACAACTCTAAACTTCATACAAAGTGTCAGCAAGCTCTCCTCACAGCTCAGTCACACAAAACAATCCTTTTCCAGCCCCAAGGACATCCCTGCAGCTCCAGCCCCAAAATGAGCAAACAACAGGGAATTGAGGAGAACAAACTGGGAGGGTGGGACTGCATCACCTGAGCTATAATTGGACATTTAACTCCCAATTTGACATTTAACCCCCAAGAAATGGACCAAGACTTATAAAAGCCTGAGAACTTGTGACTCAGGGTCCATCTTGGGTGTAGCCATGGCCAGGATCTTGCACTGCCCAAGGTGCTTCCTTTGAAGGCCTTTCAATAAATCCCTGTTTTATTCCTTTAACTCTGCCTAGCCTCTGTTCCAGGCAGCCTCTCAAGGCATCACAAGTGCTGGGTATCCCCAGGCTTTGGGGTGCCAAGGTCACCACAGGTGTTAAACTCTTCTCTCTGTTCAACAGGGGCCTCCAGGACCCAGTGGGCTCCCAGGGGGACAAGGATTTCGGGGCCCTTCTGTGAGTTTCTCCTACCATTTAATCCTCATTTACTGAATGTGCCACAACCGCAGAAGAATTAGTTTAATTTTTGTCTCTTAGCTCTTTCTGAAGTGATATTTTGGTAGCCACCCCTCACATCCCCTTGCATTTACATTGAAAAGGAATTCTTACTATTTTTCTCCCCTTTTAGGGACCTTTTGGACTGCCAGGATTCCCAGGGCCTCCTGGACCACCTGGGCCTCCTGTAAGTTGAGACTTGCAAATGAATGTGAGAAAATTCCTGGGGGCAGTCTGGAATTTTCTTCTTGCTGCACTTTTTATTTGTTGGCACTGCCATGAGCATTCAGCAGGGCATAAACACCATGTCCTGAGGAGAGCAGGGACTTTTCCCTGGCTGCCCTTGGATGTTTTGATGACCTCCTGCTGGTTATTTGTGCTCTGTGTGAGGAGGAACCCAATGAACCCCACCTTAATGCACACAGGGCATGGGGTGGGCTTGTTGTCCTCTCAAGGAAGGTTTTTGTGCTTGCTTGGATCAGGATTTGTTTTTGTAAGGCCAGCAAGTGGGCACTTGCAATCAAATCCCTGCTTTGGGTTTGCTGTGGCCTCTCTGGAGCACTGAACAGTGGGACTGGGAGGTGTTTCCCAAGGCCAGGATGAGGATGAAACCAGGCACAGCTGCTCTTCTCTAATTGCTGCCTTCATCACTGAGGCCCAAGAGTCTTCCCAAGGCCCCTGGGCACCTCCAGGGGATGGTTTCACCCCTGCTGTGTCTGGTTTTGGAGACTGGTGCAGCTCAGAGCACTCCACATTCAGGGGCAGCATTTTTGGGGTGTGGGGCTGAGCATGTGCCTTGTGCTGATCCAGCTGAGCTGGGTCTGTAAAAATTGTCCTAGAAATTGTGTTTCCTCCTGGTGTTTGTGTTTGTCTTGTATTTAAAAGCCACCATTCCCTGAATTGCAGGGTCTTCCAGGTGCCCTTCCTGATGGCGGTGGGGACCTTCAGGTAGGTTTTTTTTCTTTATGGAGCGTGAAAATATGCTTTGCTTTAATCCCTGGTGTGACTTTTGGTTGGCACAGCTGGGGGAGCGTCAGACCGTTTAACATGCACTGCTTAGACCTGCAGGTGTGGGTTTAAACCACCTTATCAGAGTGGGGTTTGTGTTTCCTGGACTGAAATGTTTATTCAAGGAGGCAGATGTGCACTGGAACAGATTTCCCAGAGCAGCTGTGGCTGCCTCATCCCTGGAAATGTCCAAGGCCAGGTTGGATGGGGCTTGGAGCAGCCTGGGACAGTGGAAGGTGTCCCTGCTTATGGCAGAGGTGGAATGGGATGAGCTTTAAGGTCCCTTCCAACCCAAACCAGTCTTTGATTTTGTCCTCGCTTTTTGCTTCCCAAAATGCACATTTTGCACGCATTCTTCATGTGCTGAACAACTCCAGCATTTGGTAACAGACAGCAGCTCTTCATGCTGGCACTCCTGCTCTGCACAGGAAGGCAGTGTGTGCAGCCCTGTTTGGTTCCAGGCTTCCATGGGCACGTGCTTCCTTTGGGCTTCCTCCCTCAGCAGAAAGCCTTGATCCCTTTCTTTCAGGGGAGCAAAAGGAGTGTTGGGTCCAGGAATGATGGAAGTGACATTTGCAGATTTCACAGCTGTTGTTGTGACAGCTTCTCTGCTTTCCTAATTGGCGTGTCCCAAAAAAAGCTCCGAGTCAGTTTAGACTGCCTGATGGCACATCACATGGGAGTTAATAGGAAATGGTGCTATTTCTGCATGTTTAAGTTACCCTGTGGAATATACTAGAAAATTAAATTTTTGCTACAGAGGTGCTGCCTGAAGTTGCATTAAAAGAACATAAAAAACAAACAACAAAACAAATTAAGAGCTGTTTGTAAAGTTTCAAGAGTATGGCCTTTTCCTCATTCAATTTCCATGCATGTTCTGCTCTGTTCCCAGTCAAGCTGGAGCTCCCACCAGGGGCTCTCCCACCCCTGGACATCTCCAGACATCAGTTTATAGGTATAGGGTTTTTATTGGTGCCCTTCAATTAACTCTGATGCCTGTCCTTGTTTCATTTAAGGAGTTGGCTAAAGGAAATCAATGGGGTCAGTTAATGCAGAGGATTAAATATGGTCCTAATGATTTAAAGAAAGTGATCCCACTTCACTGGGAAACTGGGTTCTCCAGCATTTTGGACTGTGGACACTGCCAGCCTTCAGAAAGTCTCCCAGTCCGTGTTCAAAGTGGAGTAGGCCATTCATAAATCATTGTTTTGTGGGGTGCCAGGACCTCTAGGACCCCATTCCATAGGGAAATGCTGGTCAATCCATGATGCTGTGATTCCATTGGATTCAGTGAATTTAGAGCCAAAATCCACATGACCTTTTCCCCTAATGGATGAAGCCAGCCTCCCTGGGTGTGCTGTGTGCCTGCTAAACCAAAGTGTTTCTGTTCCCTGCAGTGCCCAGCTCTGTGCCCACCAGGTCCCCCAGGCCCCCCAGGAATGCCAGGATTCAAGGTAAGGAAACACCACCTGCAATGCCAGACTTCTCTCCCAAAATGAACACCACTATGAAGGCATTAAATTCTATATACAGCCTCTGCATTTAGGCTCCCAAAGCAGCCATGCACTTGCATTTATTCCTACAAATGAAATTTAACCCTTGGCATAGTTAAAAACCCCTGCAAAGGCCAGTGGGGCAGAGCTGATGGACAGGAACAAACAGGGGCAGCAGTTCAGGGCTGCCTCAAGAACCAGGTGCTGAGAGCTGGAAAAACCTCACCAGTTCTTAAACTGCAAAATGTAACTTACATAATTAATAGAATACAATTTAATTGTTGTTTTTATAGTCAGTGTAGTAGCAGGCAGATTTATGTTTAAATATTTTAAACATAATTATTTTTTTGGCCTGTGGTATGTAAATTTTCAGCTCTCAAGAGTTAAACATCTCCTCCTCTGTCCCCTCTGTCTTTACACTTATGGACTCCAGCAGTGAGACAAAGTAATAAGTGATTCAAGTTCTTTTAGCGGGATTTAGAAGCTGGCAGTGAGTGGGAGAACTCCTGGGAAATGCTCTCAGTTCCTCCTGAAGTGACCTTTCTCACTTTCCCTGTCTGCTTGGGCTCTGCACTGAGTCATAAATATCATTACAAATACAAAGTGTTTGGGGACAACTGTTCAAAATTCATAGCTCATGAGATGGAAAGCCCAGAGAAAATCTCCAATTATGATGCAAATGGTGCCCAGGACCTTTGCTGTGGTGAGGAATAACATCTGCCATGGCTGGAATGAGCCTGGGTCTCTCCCACAGTCACAGAGCCAAGACACAAAGTGAATCAGAGCTTGTGTGAAAGCTCTCAGTGGGACATGGATTTCTTTGAAAGCTGGATGATGCAGACATTAAAGATGACTTTAAAAGGGAGGTTAAAATGCAGAATGGGGTTCTCAGGAGTGACTCATCCCCATTTTCTGGCGTGATGGGAACTGAGTTCTGGTCCCTGTGTTTGAGTTGCATGCAGACCATGAGCTTAGCCCAGTGCAAGTCACTCTGGAAAACCAAATCTGGGCATTTTCAGGACCTGCATCAATTCTGACACTGGTAGCCTCCCCCAGGAGGGAGCTCCATTCACAGCACACCTACAGACTGTTTTCTCTGAAAGTCACTTGGGATGTGGGGTTTAGGTTTCACAGCTGTCTCACCCAATCTAATTTTAAAGCAACACTCTACTGGGATGTGAATAATCATAACTCTTGTTTCTAGGGACACACTGGTCACAAAGGGGAGCCTGGTGAAGTAGGAAAACAAGGAGAAAAGGTAAACTTAAAAGTAACAGGATTTTTCTCTTTAAAAACACCTTGAAAAAAGAAATAAGGGATTTTTTTCAGGGGGAGAGGGAGGGATGAGGCTGTTGGCTGAACAAGGAGCAGTTACTTTGGCTGAAGTGCATTGGGTTCCCCTGCTCTCCCTGTAGGACCATGTGCTGACTCCCCAAGAAAATTCACCTTTCCAAGGATCATCATGTTAAGATCAGATTAATTTAACAGCCATCCCTTGCCATGCAGGGATGTCAGCTCAGGAACAGCCCTGCTTTAGTCACTTGGATAAATTCCTGACTGATCTGGCTGTTCTTGCACATAGAAATTGTCTATAACATAGAAACAAATTCTGTAGAGAAATCTGGGAGGGAGAGAGGCAGCTGAAGGAGAAACAAGATGGGGCTGTCCCTGGCTGTGTTTGCAGGCTGCTGCTGTCCCTCCTCCTCCTCTCTGATTGATTTTTCTGTCCCAGGGTAACCCTGGCCCTCCCGGCCCTCCAGGGATTCCCGGCAGTGTTGGCCTGCAGGTAACCCCAGCTCTTCTCCTCCCACCCTTCCCATGGCCTTGTCATGTGGAGTCACCTTGGTTACACAAACTGTGATGAGTTTGAACTGATTTGTTTCCTTAATTAGGGCCCAAGAGGACTGAGAGGCCTCCCTGGTCCAATGGGTCCAGCTGGCGACAGAGTAAGAAAAAAAATTCTGATTTTTTCTTTTCCTCTCCACCACCATTTTATCTTTTGAGAGGTGCCAGTGGCACTTGTTCTTACTGAATTCCACTGGGAAACTTGTAAAGGTACAAAGTTTGGGCTGTTCCCTGCAGCCCCTCCATGAGAACAACCTCCCAAAATCAGGAGAATCCCCACACCCCAGGGACTGGCAGGGTCAGGCCCAGCCAGACTGAATCATTTCAGCTTCAGTGCAAGACTGACAGTGTTAGAGAATCTTGGGGAAAAAAAAAAAAGAAAAAAAACCCAACCAAAACCAAACCAAAACAACAACAACAAAATCAAACCCCCCCCGCCAAAAAAAAAGGAGAAACATTTCATGAAAATTTCACTTTCTGTTCTGTCTCATTACAAGAAAATGCCAAAGAATCACTGATGGACAAAGGTTTTCAGGACACAAAAAGGCTCCTCAATGTGAACAGGGTCAGTCTCCAGCTCACTGAGGCTTTGGACTCCTGTCAAAATCCCTTGACCAGCAGCCCAGAGGTTGAGTGGTTTTGGATTGGATGAAGTCATGCATTTATTTAGGAGTAAGAGTGTTAACAAGATAGAAAGGCCATGAATGCTATCAGTGTATCAGGTACAAAGGTGGGGAGACCCAGAGTAAAAACCCATTGTTCAGAGCGGGATTGTTTGCAGGTCTGTCCTGCAAACCAGCAGGAGATACAGGGGTGTCTTTCCAGGGCTTTTGTGTTTTCTCAGGTGGTGTACAAGGTGGGGATTGTGTTACTTCATCCTCTGCCAAGCCCAGGCTCACAATGGTGTCTGTCCTCTGCAGGGTGACATTGGATTCAGGGGCCCACCTGGAATCCCAGGACCTCCAGGCAAAGCTGTATGTATCCCAGGCTCTCTGTGGCCCTGCCTTCCACAGCCTGCTTTATTCCTCCTTCCTGAGCTGTGCTGGCCACCTCCAGCAGATTATTCCCTTTGCCCTTTCCCTCCACTCACAGCAGTGTTATTTTACCTGACCCAGACCTCACGACGTCTCCCTTTGCCATGCCCCACACCAGAATGAGTTCACCACATTTCCATTGCTCTCTGTGCTTCACTGCCCTTCCTAGAGCACCAGCAGCTGTGGGCAAGCCCTGGAGAAGGGAATATCCTTTACTTTTGGAGGGAGAATCAGCCCTTGAGCCTGGTCTGCTCCCAGCTGCCCACAGCTCCCAAGGATTTTTGCTCCAAGCAGAAATAGCTGTGTGTTGAGGATGCAATCCCCATCCTTCTGCAGCACCACCCTCTGGGGACCCCTCCATATTCTTGCAATTATAGAAGAAATTCATCCAAAGTAAAACAAAATGAGGTGCTTTCTCACCAAACCCTTCATTGCACTCAGCAGGATCTGGACAGTAAATATTAAAGCTTTTCTCCCACTCTGTTTCTGCTTGAAGAAATTGCTTCATTAAATGAAGGGGAAGATGGTTTCTGCCCTGGGGGATGGTTGGCAAGGTCCCTGCTGCAGAAGGTGTGTCAGGAACTGGAGTGTGACTGGGAAAGTGCAGCTCTCAGGGGACTGTGTGTGCTCACACCTCTGCTGACACCAGCAAACAGCACAAAAACCAAAGCAAACAGCATAAAACCAAAGCAAACATCACAAAACCCTCCTCATTTCACCCCAAAGCAGCAATCTCTGCCACTGTGTGATGAAGATGCTTAATGGCTTTTCCTCCTCTGTCACAGGGAGACCAAGGGAGCAAAGGACCTCAGGGATTCCGGGGGCCCAAAGGTGACACTGTAAGTGCAGTCAAACACCCTTTGCTCCACTCCAAAGACTGTTCCGTGGGTTTATTATGGCTTGTGCCCTTTCATTTGCTTGCAAGGGATGGAATCATCATCTCAAAATGAGATGTTTAACTCTTACTAAAGATGCCTGAGCAGTGTCCAAGTGCTGCTGCAGCCTGGAGCACAGGAAGCAGATTCTACATCCCTTGAAATGATCAAGAATCTTCCCAGGTGCTGCATCCAGCACTGGGCTGGTTTCCTGCTGTGTCCCAAAACAACCTCCACACTTATGTGGACAGAGAGGACCCAGCTGAAATGGAATGAAATGTCCCTACAGAATCTGAGTTTTGTCTTTGTTGACTGTTCCTCAGGTTAACACAGGATTTATTGTTGTTTTCTAGGGTAAACCTGGACCAAAAGGAAACCCAGGGGCTCGTGGGCTCATAGGAGAACCTGTAAGTCACTTAAGCAGGATGCAGCTCTTGCTGTTTGTCTCACTTGCAGATGAGGAGATCAAACAGAACAGGCCAAAAGCTGCTTCTTATCATCTTTTTACTGTCAAACTTCTGCTCTGTGGGTCCCTGTGCAAGCCCAGCTGGGCTAAGGCACAGTTGTACTGCTGCTAATGAAAATCCCCCAGTACAACTGGACTCGTTGCCAAAATCTTCTTTGATGTGAATTTTGCAAACCACAGAGCCTCCTCTGACCTAAAATTGTGCTGTCCATGCTTGCAGGGAATGCCTGGCAAGGACGGGCGGGACGGAGCCCCTGGACTCGATGGTGAGAAGGTTTGTAAAGTCCTTCTTCAACACTGCAGGGAAGGTTCCTGAGACTGAGCTCATTTAACTGCAGTGCTGCAGTTCTCCCCAAAAAGCTTGGCTGGAAAGCTTTTCCTTCTGAAAAGTTTTGTGATAGTGCCACTAGTGAAGGAGAGTGAAATTCTCCTTTAGTTTATCCCGAGGGAATTCCCTAAAGAAGGGAGGTGCAGGAATGATGAAAGCTCAGCTGTGCCCCTGGGTTTAGTGGCTCCTGCTGGCTGGCTCCAGACCTTCAGAGATGCCTTGTCAGAGCTGTAGACAGAGTTGATTTTGACAGCCTGCAGACAAGGTGCTGGTTGCCTGGCTCCTGAGCAGTGCTCCTGCAGGAATATTGAACCTGTGCTGCCAGGGAAGGCTGGGAGCTGCAGGGAAACACCTGGGAGTGCTGTCCATGGCTGCTCACCCCTCCAGACACAACAGCTCTTGGTCCTGTGCACACAGGGAGGGGGAAAAGCACAAATGCCTGTCTGGGAACGTGTCCCCTGCCTGTGGCAGGCATTTCCCTGTGCTGGAGGATCCCTGCTGACCTCTCCCTATCCACAGGGCGACGCAGCTCCCATGGGTGCTCCTGGAGAGAAGGGGCCAAATGGACTTCCTGTGAGTATGGAGCAGGACCTGCCACCTCTGGGGCTGCAGCAGCCCAGGGTCCTGCAGAGATCCTTCCTGAGACAGGGGAGGGTCACTCTGTGGGGGATTCACAAGGAGCTCCAGTTCAGCCAAGAGGAAATGCGCTTTTCCCACCATGCAGACAGGGAAGGAGTGTGCCAGGCAGGATTGGAGAACACCTGGAGCAGCTCCTCACAGTAATTCCCTGGCTGTTGGCTTCTCTGACTCTTTAAAATCTAAACTTGGGAGGGATTTTCTCTTTCACACCCCACTGATGTGCATGCCTTATGGAGGGAGGTAAGGTCTGGGGTATAATATCCTGAGCTCTGTCCCTGCCTTACTCCAGTGTTATTTGCAAAATGTTTCATCTCCCCAGACTTCCAACTATGTAAAAGAGATCAAGTATTCCTTTCTTCCTGCATTTACAGAATGTTTTGAACTCCCTTGGAGAGAGGTTTCTGTGCAAAATGTTGCTGCTGCTGGTCCATTTGTATATTCCTGCTCTTTGCTCTCGTGCCAAGGATTAGTGTTCATGGAGCTGCAAGGGCAGCAAGAGAGACATTGAAGTCATAATTTTCACAGTGAAAGCTGCAGAAATCTAAACCTTCCATTGCTTCAAGCAAAGGTCACTCCTTGTGTGTCAAATCAGACCAAAACAACAAATTTAATAACTTTACTTCTTCTGACATTGCTTTAATAGAATTTTTTTTTCAGGGTCTGCCTGGAAGAGCAGGTATTAAAGGCTCAAAGGGTGAACCAGTAAGTGAATCTCTTCAATGATGGGGTTTGGTGGGGAAACTGGTCACAGCAAGACTTTAGCTTTGGGGGACTGGGAGGACTTACCCCAGAGTGATGATTCCTGTATTTCTGCTGGGGATGAAGAGCAGGAATTAGGTAAAATAACTGGGCTGGCACCTGGTTCAGAAAAGACACAGCAGATCCACAGGAGAGTCATCAGTGCTTTAGTAAACCTCATCCTTTTGTCAGAGTCCCAGGAGCAGCTTGATCTTTGGGAATCAAAAGGCTGAGCACCAGCAGGAGCAGAATGATCTCATCTTGCCTTTGCAGATTTTCCCTCACCTCAGGAGAAAAACTTCCATGGTGTTTTAGATTGACACCCACCTGTGAGATTAAAGAAAACCTCAGGCACATCAAAGCAGTCCAGCACAAAGCTGCTCTGAGAGGTGTCTTTTTTTCCCCCTGTCCCTGTTCTTTATTAATTTCTCCCTTTGCACCATTATTGCTGCTAATCCTCAGGGAGGAGAGCACGCTGCAGGAAGGTGGAGCAGGAATCTCCTCCTGGTGTGAGGGGAGTGCAGGAGTGAATGTGATGGGATGTCCTGGCATCCCTGTCTCACATGGGACATGGGGACACTGCCTGGGGCTGGTGCCAGGACAGAGTGTGCAGCTCAGCTCTTCTCTGCTGCTGTGAGTTTTGCCTTAAACTGTAAAGTTTAAAGCTGTTTTTATTTCCTGATCCAGGTTTTAACTCCCCCTCGTTTTGTTGCTTCAGGCAGGACAGAAATGACTCTCTGAAGTGATGCCCTAACTGAGTGTGTGCTTTGTGCTCTGCAGGGCAGCCCTGGAGAGATGGGAGAGGCAGGTCCCTCTGGAGAGCCAGGCATCCCTGTAAGTGCCCCATTTCCACTTGGCATGGGCCCTGCTGGAGAGTTTTAAACCAAACTGGGCAGCTGGAGCTCATGTGCTGCTTCCTTGCATGAGTAAAGCTCCCAGTGATGCAGTCCCTGGGGACTGAGCACTCCAGGCATTCCACACTGGTGTGGAGCTCCCAGGGAGCAGTGGGCTGGCAGATGGGCCAGTGGGGCAGGAGTTTGGGACTGAGCAGCCTGGGATCCAGGAATCTGTCCCAGAGGGCTGGGCAGGGTGGGTTTGTGGCTCCTGAACATCACAGCTGACTTTGGTGTCCCTGCCAGGGCGATGTTGGCATCCCTGGTGAGAGAGGTCTGCCAGGACCCAGAGGAGCAACTGTAAGTACAGGGCTGGCTGTGGACCAGAAAGGAGCCAAAATAGGCTTTGGGGAGGGGGGGCACTCTCTGGACACAGTAAAAAGCCACTTTCTCTCTCAGTGGTGTCTCTGGGGAGCTTTGGCAGCAGAGAATTCCTCCCCCAGGCTGGGTCAGGTCCTGTTCTCACTGACAGCTCCGTGCAAATGCCAGGTGAGCCCTCCCATCTGGCTTGGCAGAGCAAACTGCAGCTGCCCAGGAGGTTTGTGAGCTGCCAGGAGAGGCTGGACACTCAGCAAGCCCCTCATTGCACAGGAACAGGAAGGTTCTGCCCGTGCTGAGTCAAGCAGAGCTCATGGGAAGCTTTCACAAAGGACTTTGCCACCAGCCCATGGCACCTGAAATCCTCCCCAGGGCTGCATCCCTTCCCCTGGAGCACTGCAGAGGGGTTCCCTGCAAAACATGAAGCCATAGATACAACAAAACTGGGAATAACTGCACGGTGTCCCTGCTCAATAGCAGAGATGATAACAAATAATATCAGGAGGGTAAATCCCTGATTTTGATCCCGCTACTAAAAATGCTTTTTAGTACTTTTTCATCTTGTCACTCCCCAGCTAGTGCTGCTGTTGGGGTTGGATCTGATCTTCCAGTGGTTTTGTTGGGATTTTTTTCTTTTTCTTTTTTTTCCCCCCATCTTAATCTCATTTTGAAATCCAGGAGCCTACAGCAAGTCTAATATGATTTTTCTGGTACGTGCCACTTGGAAGAAATTGAACTGCATGATTTATTGTTTGTGAGCAGCTTCTGCTTTAACTTCCAAGGAGAGGGAAATCAGCTTTAGAAATAAACTGTATTAATAATGTTTGCTTTTATGTCTGCAATTTTTCATCAGAGTGGCTGGCCTCACAAAAGGTACCACATTATTGCAGCCAAAAAGCAAAAGCAGTCAAGCTAATTGTGTTGGTGCAGAGTTTTGACAGGGGTGCAGTTGCAGCTGAACCCATGGTTATGTCTAACCTGGCCTTCTCATTTCTGATTTGTTTTATTAGAATCATAATTTATTTGTTAAGACTGGGCTGTTCAAAGAGAGGTGCAGGTTTTTTCCAGTGTTAAGGCTGTTTGGCTCAAAACAATTTGGGGTTTTTTAGCTCTGAGTACCAAGGGTTTCTCAATCCCTCCAGCAGCTCAGCAGACTAATTTCTGATGCAATTTAACTCAACTTTCCTAAAGCTTTGTATTCATAACTTTCAAAGTTCCTTACTGAATACAAGCAGAAAACAAAGTGGAAACCAGTAACCACAAAAATACCTGAGCAGTTGTTCAGCTTTGTGAGGCTGATGCTGCTTTATGTCAGTGGCCACTTTGAGGTTTATTTGTGTCCCTGAATGTTCCACCCAGCAGGGATGGCAGTGAAAGGAGCCAAAGCTGCAGCCCTGCCTCATGACAGAAGCTTGCTGAAGGCATCTATTTCCAGGAGACAGTTTACAAAATGAGATTTAAATGCCTAAATTACTTGGTTGTCTTTTTTTTCATCCAAGATCTTTATTGGATATGTGATTTTTTTCTCAGGAGAAAGCAATAGAGACTCCTAATGGTAATGTTCATGTTCAGTCTGGTGAGCTCTTAAGAGCCTCTGCCCTGCCAGCATAAACTGCTGCCTTTTTGTGCCTTGCTGGAACCAAGGATGTCCATGCAAATGGAAGCAATTGCCATTTTTCATTTCCAAGGGCCTGCAGCATGTGTTTTGCAGTAGTGCCTTGCAATCAATTAAAAGCATAATATTGGGATAGCAGATCCCTCTAATGGATGTTGTCTAATGGATGTTGCCACTTTTTACTGTCCCTGATCTCTACTGCTCGTGAGCATGGTGTGATTTTAAGCACTGATTATCCAAATAAGCCTTTCTGTTAACAACAATGCAATTAACAAAAAAACAAACAGCAAACACCAAGGTTGAGTGGTTCAGCAGCAGTGCCAAGGGGCTGCAGCACAGAGCTGCACGCTCTGCCCCTTCAGTGGCACAGCTGGCTCACCTGGCCCAGGTGTTCTCCTGAGCAAAGCTGATCTCTCTCTTTGCAGGGACCACTCGGCCTCCAAGGCCCCACAGGAGCCCGAGGTGTCCGAGGCTTCCAGGTCAGTGTGACACAGGGGTCATCATTGTCATCGTGGTGTTTGGCAGGGCAGTGTGACACTGGGGTCACTGAGGTGTTTGGGCAGTGTGACACTGGGGTCACTGTGATGATTTGGCAGGGCAGTGTGACACTGGGGTCACTGAGGTGTTTGGGCAGTGTGACACTGGGGTCACTGTGGTGTTTGGCAGGGCAGTGTGACACTGGGGTCACTGAGGTGTTTGGGCAGTGTGACACTGGGGTCACTGAGGTGTTTGGCAGGGCAGTGCTCTCTGCGAGCCTCTGGCCAGAGCTTGGGTGGTGGCAATGAGGGAAAGGAAGAAATCTCCTCCATTTGCCAGACCCAGCATGACACCTTCATTGCCACGGGATGGTAAAAGAGCAAAAGGCCAGATAACTGCCTGCAGGAGAAATTCAAATTTAGTGGTTTTTTGCAGGGAGGGGGGTTAAGTTTTGAGCCTGTTCCCTGGCACAGGTGCCCAGAGCAGCTGTGGCTGCCCATCCCTTGGATGGGGCCCTGACCAGCCTGGTGTTGATGATGTTTGTGGGGTCCCAGGATGAGGGAAGAGATGAATCTGACTCCATATTTCTTATAAGGTTGATTTAAATACATCAGAAAGCTGGAAAAGAATGAATAATAAAAATCTCATGACTGACCAGAGAGTCTGACAGAGCTGGACTGGGATTGGTCATTATGTACAAACAATTCACATGGAGCCAATCAGAGATGCCCCTGCACATTCCAAAGCAGCAAAACACAGGGAGAAGCAATCAGATAATATTGTTTTTCTTTTTCTCTGAGGCTTCTCAGGAGAAAATCCTGGTGAAGAGATTTTTCATAAAATGTCATGGTGACAGCCTGGTCTGGTGGAAGATGTCCCAGCCTGTGCCAGGTGGTGGAATGAGCTGAGTTTTAAGGTTTTTATGACTGGTTGAGTTTGAGCTTTGTTAAGACACTTCAGTTTCTCCTTGGTCTGCTCCACTCTCTGCCTGTTTTCCTTTTTACTGCACTGGGGTCTCCAGCATTTCTCCCTCCCTTCTCCAGGGCTGTGGGCCCTCCACTCCCCACTGGCACTGGCTGAGGGAGCATCACTTGGTGGGATCACAGATACTGGAGGTTTATTAATTTTAAGAGGTTTATTAATGCAAGACCCAGGCCAAAGGTTGGAGCACCTTGGCACATGCCTGACCCTGGACCAGGAGAGGAGCTGGAATGAGCTCTACCAACCAACACAAGTGATCCCCAGGTCCTGGGGGAAAGGGAGACATCCAGGAATAACCTTTCTGAACATGTCAGGGAGGCTGCTGAACCCCCAGGGTGTTGAAGGGTGCAGGGTTTCTGGCACTCTGAGCTGTATTTGGTTTTTGTTGTTTTCCCAACAGGGGCCCAAAGGTGCCAGTGGAGAGCCTGGCCTTCCTGGCCCGACTGGGATCCGTGGAGAGACAGGAGACAGGGTAAGGACAAGACTCCTGGGACTCATTCCTGCTTGGGATGGGAATTTAGAGGGCAGTGGGCACCCAACCCCGGGTGTAGCTGATGTGTTGGGTGTCCCTGGGGCTGCCCTCAGGGCTGGGAGCAGGACTCTGCATGCTGTCCCCTCTGCTCCTGGTTTCTGCTCCACTCCAGAAACTCCCACTATTTCAGACAGGGTGGATTGTTTAAAAGCAACTTCCAGACCCTATCCTAGCCAGAATAGAGAGTGTTTGGGATTTTTCCCCGTTCCTTACAATGGTTCCACCAAAGCCTCCCTCCCCAGGAGCACAAGAGAGTGGATTAATGAATTTTTGTTACTCAGATGCTTGATTAGACTCTCTGGTTTTTTGGGGTTTTTTGTTTTTTAATTACAGTATTATCAGTGACTTTTCTTTCTGAACAGCAAAATACCTGGGCATCCTCCCTCACCATAAATGTGACTTTTTATTTAAATGAGTTCATTCTCATTTGAAAGAAGCCACCAGGGCCAAGTGAACAGCATTTGTTGGGCACTTGCAGGAGGACAGGAGCCATGTGTTCACCAGCTCCCTCCTCCCCAGCTTTAAGGTGAAAGTTTTTTTTTAAAAAAAGCTTTAATTTGCTTTCTGTGTAAGCAACTGCAGCAGCACCACAGGGTTTCCACAATGGCCCTTCTGTGCTGGCTCCAGGCAGGTCTGAAAAAGCCTCTTGGAGTGACTGTGAGCTGGAAGTGTGAGACAGGAGCGTTATTGTGGAGCTCTGGGGCTCTTGGCTGCATTCAGGGCTTTGCTGTGGTGAAAAATGTACATTCAGAGGGGAAGAGGCCCCTGCATGAAGCACTCAGGGAGCTGCTCCAAGCAGAGGGAGGGGAAACGTTGTGCTTAAAGCAATAAAAAATAATCCAGGTTTTATTTCTGCCTCTGAAGTTCAGTGCAGTTACTCTAAGGTGTGATTGTTGGTTGCTCAGAATGAGAGGAAACGGCCTCAATCTGCACCAGGGAAGGTTTAGATTAGATATTAGGATTTTTTTTCACAGAAAGGGTTGTAAAGCATTGGAACAGGCTGCCCATGGAAGTCCCCATCCCTGGAGGAGTTCAAACAAGGTGTGGATGTGGCCCTTGATGGTTTAGTGGTGACCATGCTGGTGGTGCTGGGTTGACCCCAAACCTCCAGGTTGTGTTTTTATAGCCCAAACAAACAGCCTGGGCTGCTGGGGACACACAGAGCACCCCTGGCCTTGCTGCACTGCTGCTCCTGACGTGGATAAAGAGGAGAGCTGCACACACAGGATCGATGCAACTGCCCTGTCCCAGCTGCAGCCAGCTCATCAAACTCTCCTGAAATCAACTGAGACTTTTCTGTGGAAAAAGAGGAATCCCCTCCTGCCTGAGCTAACTGAGCACTGACAGGCTTTTTCACAGTCCTTGGACTGACTGCTCAGGCATATAAACCAGCATTTCAGTAAATGTGTTTGCTGGCATGAAAAATACAAGTGGTTTAGTGCATTTGACTGTAAGATATAAAATAATGTTGAGATAAAAGACATCAACCATCCTGCTGGGGTGGGATGTGGGGAGGGGAAGGGCTTGGCTGTTGTTGCTGACTGAGGCAGCAATAGACAAATATTTTTCCTAAGGATTTTTATTATGATCAAATTCCTCAGGATTTGGGATGCCAGCAGCCACCTGGGGCATTGCCTCTCTTTGCTCCCTACTGGAGCACTCAATGCTTGGCCAAAACCATGAGTTTTGTTGAACTGATCAGAGGAAATGTGTGAAGACATGGTGCTGGCAGTCCTGAGCTCCTGGTTCCTGCAGTGATTTAGAGTTCTGAATGAAAATCCCCTGGGCTGAGCTTGTCTTCAAGGGAGTGTTCCTTGCAGGGCTTGGTCTTTGGTGACTGAGCTGTGTTTTATTGCCATAAACTGTCATGGAGCCTTGAGACTCTGTGAAGTCAGAGGTATAAAATTTAGATTACAATGTTCAGAAAGGAATATATTGCTTTTGCCATCAGCAAACATAAAACAGGTGTTATAAAGTTTTAGCCACTCTTGCATTTCTACATTCCATTGTCTGCTTTTCTGAATTATTTTTTCATTAATAGAAATCTTCCCTCATTTTAACTTAGTGCTTGAATTGAACAAAATAAAATGTCCTTGTTGTGCATGTTTGTTCTCCTTGAAGATTCTGTTCTGCTGAGCCATCTCTACATCTAGTTAATAAAAAAAGATCAGTTTGCAGATGCCAGATTGATGAGTGAGCTGTAGATATCCTGCTTGAAGGGTAAAATGGCTGAATTTCACATGTAGATTTTGCAGTAAAAAAAATCTGGGGTTCTCCTGAACTCCTTATTGGCTCTGATCTCTGGAGCAGAAAAATAAAAAATATGGCTGAAAATGTCTCTCTGTGAATGTCAGGTAGATAAAGATGGAAGGATTTTCCAAATTGCCTTGGTTATTCCTGAGGTGATAATCAGTTCGTCATCTAAAGGTATTTTATTCCTGTGGCCATGTTGTTCCATTAATCTTTAAATCAGGAGCACCTAATTCTGAATCCCAGGGAAACTGGCAGTCCAATAAGGCCTTGAAAAAGCATCTTGGCTTTTTGCCCTTGTGGTATGAAAATATTCTTGTCTGTTTTATACCACAAGTAAATCCAAGCTCCTCCTGACATCACAGGCTGAGAAATTACAACACAAACCAGGGACTGTGGAGAGTGTCACAGAGCTAGCAGGGGTGCTTGAATCCCTTCTCATTTCTAGGAAGTGTGAATGAGATTTGTACCCTCTCACTTGGCAGCTGGGAGACTCTGACCCCTTGCTGAGAGTGTCTGACCACACCAGGAATTCATGGGAAAGTAACAGTTTGAGCTCATTTTCTTCTTTCTCTTACTTATTTCCAGGGTCCTCTCGGTGTTCCTGGCCCCAAGGGGAACCAGGTAAGTGATAACTTTCATGCTGTTCTCAGCAGAGGCATTTAAACCAAAGTTCAGGGACAGCCTTTGACAGCACAAATGGCTTTTTCTTCCACAAATGAAAATATCCTGCAGCAGAAACCAAAACCCTTTTTAGTCCCATTTTCCCTGCATTGGCACAGATGTTGTCTGATGGAGACTCATGAAAATGCTGTGGTACAAACAGCAGGCCCTCCCTGGGTGTTTTGCAGCCACAAGGATCTGTGCAGGAGCTCCTCACATCAAATTCCTCCCAAGTTTAGAAGTGCAGCTTTTCCTCATCTTCCTGTGCCTGATGAAGAATATTTCACCCTAACCTCAATGCTTGGCACACTAATGAACTGGTTTAATCTTATACTTTTTGCTACTCAACTTCCATGCTTGGTTTAATCTCAGCAATGAGCTTTTGGGCCAGTTTTCATCAAATATATGTCTTTCATTAATGCATGGCTGTGTTCTTGCAGAAAGTGGAGCTCTCGTAGCAAGCCTTGCTGGTTTGGTTTGCCAGCATCAGTGTGGTCTCTGTTTTGTTGCTAAGGGGAAAGACCAACCTGATCTCTGTTTGTCTTGGAAAACTTCCCCTGGAAAGCCGTGGAGTCACCATAACAATGTTCATTATCTGCTCTAATAATAGAGCCCTGTGCTGGGGCAGCTCTGCCCTGGGCAGGGATTGCAGGGTTTGTGTCAGCCCAGGCAGGCTCAGATTGCTCAGGCTGCTGCTGGGGGAGCTGAGCAGCAAAGGGCTGGTACAGTGGATGCCACCAGAGCTTTGGCCACCCTAGCATTCCTGTCCCCAGGAGTGGAGAGGGATGTTCCTCACCAAGAGATCGTGCAGTTTGAGGGTGGGATGAAGCTGGGACCCTGCTCAGGAGGCCATGAGAACAGGACACTCAACATTTGCCTGTGGCTGCAAACCCTGTTTTATGTGAGAGAGAGCAGGGGGAGCTGAAATTTAGTTCCCTGCTTGAGGAATGCCAGCTCCAGCCCCTGGATGTCTTCCATGGTTCTCATCCATACGAATCCAGCCTTTCATCCAGCTCCCAGCTTGCTGGAAAGGGCACCCAGTCCTCATCCAGCTGCCCTGTGCCCTCATCAGCAGGGGAGCAGCTACTGTGGAGTGCAGCTTTGGGAAGAGAGAGCCTCTCCCTGCTGGAGCAGCTGTGGTGCTGGAGCCCCCATCTCCTCCAGGTTGTCCAGGCCTCAGGGGATGTATCCAGACCTTGCTGTCAGCAGTAGGTGCTGTGTTAACTGTGGTCTCTCTCTCTCAGGGCATTGCTGGAGCAGATGGCCTCCCAGGTGACAAAGGAGAGCTGGTAGGTGTCCTTAAATTCAGTAGAGTTGACTCCTCAAATAACAGATGGGTGCAGAAAGCCATGGATCACTGTGGTCAGTCAGAATTAACCAAGATTTCCAGCCCTGCTGTGAAAAGAGGGCAACCCAAGCCTTGCACCCATCACAGCAGCTCGGGAGATTGGGCTTCAGGTGTGCATTTTCTGAATGAATCACTTTCTTATTTCCCTTTTCTTTCTGACAGGGTCCCTTTGGACCTCCTGGCCAAAAAGGAGAGGTAAGTGTCAGACACTGGGGCTCATGCCCCAGAGGATTTAGGAGTAAGCATGACCATTGCACCTCTGTAACTATAGAATAAACTCTGCTCTGGTGTCATTGCCTAGAAGCAGACTTTTCTCACAATCATGCTAATAAAATCTATGAGAAAAATGGTGATTTGTGGAATTCAAAATATTGAAATCTGTTTGACAGTTTTGCTGCAGCAAGGACTCCTCTTACAATGAGTGATACATGCAGAAACACCCTTAGGATGTAAGAAATGTATCTGATCCTCCAGAGCCATTCAGGATCTGAAAGTCTTAACTAAGAACATCTTAACTAACCCCCAGGAGAAAAGAATGAACCATGACTTCCATTTTAAGTGGTTTTGGTCCTTTTTGTTCTTGACTGCAGCCAGGAAAAAGAGGAGAACTTGGTCCAAAAGGTGTCCAAGGACCCAACGGGACAGCTGGAGCACCAGGCATCCCAGGACATCCAGGACCCATGGGTCACCAGGGGGAGAGGGGTGTCCCTGGCATCACAGGAAAACCTGGACCTCCTGTAAGTACCTGCTGCTTCTGCAGCACAGGCAGGGAGCCTGTGAAGTGAAAAAATGGGTTGTGGGGTTTTGGATAAGGTCCTCCATTTCAGCAGGCAAAAATAAGGCCAAATAAACCCCAGATTAAATATCTGGCCTAACATTAAAATTAATTGCTGCCATTTGTACAACAGAGTTCTGAAGGGAAGCTGTCACCTTTTGAAGAGGGGAAAGAACCCCCTGCTCTTCATGCAGGACCTTGTGCTGCTTCCCAAGCTCCTGCAAATGTGTTTTGTGTCCTGCAGCTTCTGCCAGGGCTGGTTATTGATAAGGAGGTTCCTACAAAGACAAATTCTTCTGTTAACTGCAGGGCAAAGAGGCCAGTGAACAACATATCAGAGAACTCTGTGGGGAAATGATAAATGGTGAGTATTACTGAGAGAAAACTGACTTTAATTACCAGATCAGTAGATCCTGAACATAAATGCCTTCTGAGATTTGTTAATTTTCTGTCTTCATAGGACAAAGTAATACAGTGACCTTGAGTGTAAGGAAATTATTCAGGAGGTCACCTTGTTGTATTCAGGAGGTCACTTGGTTGGGGATGTCTTTTAGTGTTCTAAAATTAGTATTTTTAAATTATTCATCATGGCAACAGTCAAAATGCACTGAAAGCAGCTTTGGCACAAGTGTTGTGTGAGACATCCTGCACTAACCTGTGTCATTCTGAGCTCTCCTCAGTGCACCTCATTACCTTGAAGCAGGATCTCAGGGTGTGTCCTTCTTTCTTCAAAGTGACTGTTTTGCATTTGGAGGTTACATCCCCTGTTTGGGATGAGGCTAAGCTCTGAAAGTTTGTTTCAGGAAATTATTTAAGTGTCATTTCTTGTACTTGACATCCTTTAAAGGGCTTTTGAAATAGGAATAATCATCCCTGCAGATTTATGATTAATATCTCTGTCTGTGGAGATGTAAAAAACCCCAAAAACTACAGGTAAGCAGGAAGGACAGATTCACTGTTCCCTCCTGCCAGGAGCAGCGGCAGGAAGTTCTGCCTAAAGAAAGGGTGCAAATGTTGGAGATGCAGTGATTAATGATGTTTTCCAGAGCAAATTGCACTGCTGGCTGCTAACCTGAGGAAGCCCTTGGCTCCTGGAATGACGGGCCGGCCGGGCCCCGCTGGGCCCCCCGGGCCCCCTGGAAGCACGGGAACTGTTGGGCATCCTGGTCCCCGTGGGCCCCCTGGCTACAGAGGCCCAACAGGAGAGCTTGGTGATCCTGGACCCAGAGGCAAGTTCAGAGTGAAACATTTTACTTCTCTTTTATGCCCACTGAAATAAGCTTGTACTGAACTCAGCACTGGGGAGAGGAGATCAGGCCGTGGTGGAGTTCTGCACCTTGAGGGGTGCCATGGAAGCAGGGATCCCTGCAGCATCCAGAGGATTTGTGGCTCCTCTTGTTCTCTCCCCGTGCTGTCGGTGGCTGCAGCTGCAGAGCAGAGCTCACTGTGGGAATTGTGTTTGTGCTTGAAGGTGACCCTGGTGAAAAGGGAGACAAAGGACCTGTTGGCCAAGGAATCGATGGGCCTGATGGTGACCAAGGGCTGCAGGGTAAGTGTGGGAAATCAGTGAATGCTGCATGGCTGAAGGGAAGGCTGAGGGACAGCTCTGCATGCTGATGGCAACAGATTATCAGCACTCAGTTACAGGGGTGACAACTCTGAGGCTCTCCAGATTAAGGGAAAGGATGGTGTCTGCTTCCTGATGATTCCTTTATTAAAAGACGCAAGATGAATTTATGCAAATTAATTAATATTTATGGAAACTTGGAAGAATATTCTTTATTTTGCTCACCTGTTAAAGCAGCTTTTCTAATTGGGATTACACCTGTACAATGAATAAACTGCAGGCACCAAAAGCAGGCTCTCAATTCACAGAATTTCATAAAGCCAAAATCTTTACAACCATGTTATCTGAAATTCTTCCACAGAATTTATACCATCAAATTTCATAATATTTATACCCCATTGTCTCAGAATCTTCCATAAAATAATTAATCTATGTTAATAATTTGTGAACTCACACAGCCAAAACATCCCTTGACCAAATTAGGGATAAAAAAATCCAAAGCACATACTCCAGATTCAGGGTAAATTTATTGAAAACACCTTGTACTCAACAGGCCATAACAAGTGTGATGTACAGACACTCAAAGTATATTAAGATCTCTAAAATCAACACATATATACAGATATTAAAAAAGAAAAGATGGAGATATTTCATGTATCTTTCCCCTCTCTCGTTTAGGACCACCTGGTGTGCCTGGAATTACTAAAAACGGCCGTGATGGTGCTCAGGGTGAACCCGGGCTGCCAGGGGATCCTGGGACTCCTGGCACTGTTGGGGCTCAGGGAACTCCAGGAATATGTGACACGTCGGCTTGCATGGGAGCTGTTGCAGCATCAACTTCCAAAAAATCATAAACCAACAGTACAAGAAGTGAAGAAGTGACTGAATATTTAAATAAACAGTGCATTGTAAGAAAACAGAATCCTTCTAGTGCTAAAAGGACAGATGCTCCTTCTATTCTATTAAGTGGAGACTTTGACACAGTTCTATGAAAAAGAAAGCATCAGATGAAAACTTTAATTAAAAGATGCTTTATGACTATCTTTTCCTCCCCCCAATTATTTCCCAGAATTTTTACTGCTAAACAACCTCACCTTTCCTTCCTCCCTTTGCTCAAGAGACCTGCAAGAGGAAGCATTGCTCCTTTTTACCATCACCCCCCCTGTCCTAAAGATCACCTTTTCCATTGAGTTCCTTGGTGCTGCTCCCACTGACTTCAGTCCTGCAGGTTTGTGCTCTCAGACACGTTGTTAAGACACTCAGGCACCGAGCTGCCTCTTCCATCAGTGGAAATCAGGCATTTCAATAACCTGTATTTTAACATCTGAACCTTCTGGCCTAAGGAATGACCATTGCTTAAGTCTGTGCTGCCAGCTAGAAATTTTCAGATTGCACCTCAAATATTTGCCAAGACTAGTAAACAGTAATCCTCTTGCAAGCAAATTCTGCAAAAGGAGTAATGTAAATATTTTAATTTCCAGGGAAGAATTTTTGCATATTTCCATATGATAACGAAGGAAATGAAGTAACAGCATTTTCATGACCTCTACTTCAGCTATTTGCACAGTAATTGTGATGGAACCCCATCTAAGAAAGGATGCTCTTTTAAAGTCCAGCCAAAACCACCTGTATGAACTGTTGTAAAAATAAAAGGAGATTTTTTTTTTAACCTTTTCTTTGTGATGTTGTAAGTGTCATTATACAAATCAAATTAACTTGGCTAAACTCCATTTTCCAGAACTAGGTTTTACTAGTATTGTTTGGACATAAATTGCTGCAAAATTGTTCTTATCCGTGATTTAAACCAGTATTAATTTTGGTAGAACTTTTTATACTTTAAAACTTGCTAGCATCATCTATTTAAAAAAATTAATAAAGCCACTCTCAGCTCACACACAGTTCTATTTCTGTCCTATATGCCAAAGCCTATGAACGAAGCATCATATTTCTCTTTAAATATAAAAATAGTTTGTGCATTTAAATATCTACTGTTTAAAATATTCCACTTTTGGTCTAAAGTAACAACACAAGAACCTATTGGACGGTTGTGTGGCAGACATTAAAAATAGGACTGAATTTAAAAATGCCAACACCATTGCACTACTCTTTGGAGCTAATTATGTTAAATATGTATGCCAATGCAAAATTCATAATACACACAGTTTAGAAACTATGCATTTGTCCAAATAACCAATACAATATTTACATTTTAAATGGAAAAATGGGCATTATAATATGGTAACTTCAGTTTCTTTATACACTGGAAGAATGAGTTTGCATCTGGCCATTAAAACAACAGGAAGATGGATGTTCTACAACTCTTCCAATCTGTGCTGCATCATCTTTAAAAAATAAAATAAAAGCAAAAAATTAAGTGAGACCCCAAAGCAGGATGACAAGAAATTTTGTATAACTAAAGGGTTAAAATAATTAATTATTACATTTTCTTGTAGCTTCTGGTCCCAAAGCCCCTTGAACAGGGAGGATTCCCATTGCTGGTAGTTACCTTCCATTTCCATTTGCAATAGAGAACGTTTCTTTTAAATTTCTATTTATATATATATTTACAAGTTACACTTTCAAATTCCTATTCAGCATGTAAATGGAAAGAATAAAACACAGTTTGGACTGCTGTCACACAATTCAGGGTGGGCAGGTCAGGCTATTTGGTCTCCATAGCTGTACGGTTTTCCTGTGCTGGACACATTACACACGAGTCTGGTCTTCCAATTTTTAGTCTCCTGCCTGTTTTGCCACAGAACACAGTCTCAAATTCCTAAAAAAATCAAAATACAAAAGAAAAATGTTATATTTAATGTAGATGTTTTCTTGAGATGTTTGTTTTGTTTCATTTGTGCCTTCAATAGGAAGGAAGAGAGCCCATATCCATATCTAGACCAGCAGGTGTTCCAAGACACACCCTCCTAAAATTCTTGGCAGAGCCAGAATTACTCTGGAGCTGCAACTACTGCTGAGGAGAACAGGAGCTGCTTTTAAGGCATGTAACCCTTCAACTCTGCTTACCCACTCAATACAGTGTGGGCATGTAGCTGTGATCCCCCTCCCTGAACTAACTAGAAGCCTGTGAAAAGGGTAGAAAATAGAGAAAATGAAGGAGGGGAGGAATGATTTAAGACGACCTTAATTTCATATTATTGTCCAAATAGGATCATGCTCAGGAATTGTGTAACTAAAAATAATTAATTTTAAAATTCAGTTTGAAAACACTGACTGAGGACAACCTGTAATTTCTCACTAGTGAACTCAAACAGCTGAAAGAAATAAAAAATAAAAATTTAAGGGAAGGTTCAAGGACATGGTGGGGCGTGGTGGGTCCTTCACAAACAGCAGCTTTGCATCACAGTTCTACATTATGACAGCTTTAAAACATTTTCCATTTTTATCAAGACCAAAAATGAAATGAGATTTCAAACCTGCTTCAGGGAGTCGCCGTGCCTTTCCTGAATGTACTTGAGGAATGCAGTTGTCCACTGCAAAGTTGTTGCCTTGTCGGTGTCAATCGTGCAGAAGGGAACGAGGAGATTGAGCTCGTCACAACAAACCCGGATCCTGCGCCTGCAGGCAAACACCCAAGGTCATCAGCCAGGGGCCAGAGGGAAGGGAAAAATACAGAGAGCAGGAAGACTACCCACATGTGCAACCAGCCATGGACTTTGGGGACTGCTTTGTGCTTGCTACAAGCTTTGTGTATTAGTTTTGTTACAAAGTGAAAACAGTTTACAGAGTGAAAACACAAAGACAACCGCAATGAAACAAAGATATTTTTTTCCCATCTAACAAACACCAAACCCTCACCTCCTGCACTGCTTTTTCTTGGAGCTAACACAAACCATGTCAAGCTTACATTTACTCTGGATAATCAGAGTACTGCAGTACCAGTATTTTATGCTTCGAGAGGTGTTTCATGGCCCCTGCTCCCAGAATTACCTCCTGTCTCTCTCCAGTCGATTGTGCCTTTCCCTTCTCTGGGCACTTCCATCCTGGGAACCACTTTGCACCTGCACACTGGAGCTGGGCTGTGCTGACTGCCAGGGGCCCTGGGCAGCTGCAGTGCTCTGGTTGTTGTCCCGGGTGTTCCGAATCTCTCCGAGAGGTTTGCGATCCATGTTTGCATCCAACAGATTTATTCGGCTGCAACTTCTGTTTATGGCTTGCTTGCATAAGGTGTCTTGTTGGAAAAATAAAAATGAAAATAATGACCTATTTGTTACTCTCCCACTAACCTGAAAACAGTGATCATGGAAAGTTCTTTTGGTGCTGTATTTATATGGAATAATCTTTGAAGCTTTACTGCCAGGCTACATTGATTCTTACAGCAAGACATGTCCTGCAGAAGACCTAAGGCACTGCTTGCTATTCCAAAATCCACACAGCTTCTATTTTCTCAGAGAGCCCACTGAGATTGCAGCTGCCCTTGGTGAGCACTTGAGGCAGCCCTTAAAATGTTCTTCAGTTTGATACTGACTGGGTCTGCTGGATCAGCTTTGGGGTCAAAGAAAGCACCCCTGTGCCAGGGGTTTGGTGGTGTTTGGTCAAAGGCTGGAGGTCTTTTCCAACCTTAATGATTCTATGATTCTAAAGAAACCAGCTGCTGACCCAAGGCCCAGATTTTCAAAGGTACTTTGTAACCTCAAGTCTCCTCATTTCAATTCAGAAGTGCTAAACAGTTTTGAAAGTACAGGTAAACTTAAAGGTGTTGACCATCCTTGGAGAAATCTAGCCCCACGTTGCCTATAGAGCATCTTTGCCATAAGAACCTCACCTCCCACATTCACTAAAATCATATTAATTCCAGAAAATAATTTTTAAAAAAATTAGATTTGAAGAACAAGAGAAAACTAAGTGAAAATAAGATAAATGGTTTACCTCCAACTTTAATCCAAACTTCCTCAGGCAAAGCTTTATTTATAGCACCTACTGTCTGTTTCGTGGATTCAACTTCCTGATAGAGAAAAGGGAATGTTTTGGGTATCCCAAGGTCTTGATGTTTGGCAGCTTCCAAAATAGTGCAAGATGTTCCACAGGTCTGTGAGAACAAAAAGGAAACACTTACAAAACTATATAATATACATTAAAACAAAATCAATTATTTGATGTCTTTCTGTTAGCTTCTTAAATTACTTCTTCAGGCAGAATAAATCCCAAATACACACAACTGTGGTGTTTTGACAGAGTGATGAATTCTGGGGATACCTCTGACATTTCTCAGTGCCATGCTATTACTTTTGCTTCAGAGGTTACTGCAAGTTGTGGAGAGCAAAATATCTTTATCACCAAAATGAGTTAGAAAGAAAGGAACTACAGAAAATGGTCTTGCACAGATGAAACAGATGATAAACTGATAAACTCTAGGAAAAAAAGAGATCTGATGGCCTATTGCTTGTTACTGGGACACACATAATTACAAATGCCACAAAAGTGACTTGACTGTCTTAAAGATTAATAAACAAATTGCATTACAGATCATTCTGATCGCCCCTATTCAAACCCAGCCACACTCTACCACAAACCTTCAGAATTCTACCACACCCAGGAAGTTAATGCCATCAGCATTGGAAGGTGGCAGAGGAGAGTTACCTGTGCTTGGGAAGGATTAGAACTTCCAGCAGCAGAACATGCATTCATGGTAAAGAACGGGTATGTAAATGGTAAGGAATGGGTGGCAGGTGCAGCCTTATTTTTTCCTAGTGCAGCACACCTGTTCCCTTGCTGGTGAAGAGGAACACCCACCACTTCTGAGGGCTGGCGGATCAATGTCACTAAACTTCAGACAAAAACAAACAAACAGAAAAAACATACCAGGCTGACTGCTTGGAAATGAGTGCAGGAATAAAGTACAGCTACAAATATTCTAGAAACTATCACCAAGAAACCACTTTCATTTACTGAAAACAGAAATCACTGTTATTGCTATGTTGCCCACTTCAGGGGCCAAATAAAAGAAAAGAAAAAACAGCCAAGGAGGTATTTTATTCTGTGCAATAACAAGGTGCTTCACGCCTCAATAAAACATTTTGTCAGCACATTAAGATAGGTACAGGAGGTTAGGTTAGTTTGTAAAACAATATTTTTGCTCCAGTTTTCCCCATAGTCAAGCCTCCACATTATAACCCGAATCTATCATCATCATTATTATTATTTTTATTATTAGCAAAAATCTACTTTGCTTTTAGCAAGCTGCATATTAAAAGTAGGTAATATTCTCTCGCCTTTATTTACAGTACATGCTATCAAGAATGAAGTTGTAAAGTAATTCGTTTTGGAACTCCATGCTGTACCATTTATGCAATAAACAGAGGGGCCTAAGCTGAGCTCAGAGGAGTCGCAGGCACAGTTTAACAAAGCCCAACCCATCCTTCTCATATATTAAAACAAGCACTATTCATAGGTTTCACTTAGCAAATCACTTTCGAACTACATGATACATAGTTTAACAACATAAACTAAAAGTAATTGCAACACACTTGTTAAGAGTTACTCCAGATTCTTGGGGTTCTTGACATCTGGGGTTTTCTGTCGGGCTGCTGTTGAATCTGTCTTCCAACCGAGCTCTGACTGCAGGTTTAGATCTAACCTCTGGTGCCAGTGCCGAATTTTCAACAAATATGTTTTCCTTATTCTCCCCCAAGAAATTTTCACCCTGTTTAGCTTTTGCTACACTGCATCCCGAGACTTCTACAGAGCTACTACTGTTGGGCGCTTTCTCTCTCTGGTTCACAGGGAGGTTGGACTCGCTAAGTAACATCATCCTGAGCTCCTGCAAGTCAGCATAGCCCAGGTGCGGGTTAGAACTCGGCCAGTAGCTGTCACAAGGCAACCCTGACTGACAGGTCACTGGGCAGACCGACTGGTTCCCAGAGCTGCTGGATGAGCCCCCGTCCTGACTGGTGCTGGGGGAGGGCTGCTGCAGAGGGGGGTCTGCAGAGGGGCCAGGCGAGGAGAAAGCGCTGAGCCTGGCTTCCACTTCACCTTCGCTACTCTGCGCCTCCGTGTGCGAGCAAAGTATGTGCTGCAGCTGGGTGTACTCAATGTCCATCATCTCCACCAGGCTGGCCTCGGGGGTGGCGAAGCCAAGGTTTTGCTCACCAAAGGAACTGTCACTTGAGCCTCCAGGTCCGACAGCAACGGGAGCGGGGTCAGGAACACTAGCTGGGCTCTGAGGAATGGTCTGAGGCTCCTCGGGGGCTGATCCTGACATGGCTACAGCAAACCTAATCAGTTACCAATGTCCCTTTCAACAGAAAACCATAAAACCTTCAACAATTGTCAGTGCTATCCATTAAAAAAAAAAAACCCAAAGGCAGAAAAAATTGCACTTAACACTGATTGGCGAGGTAACAGAGTGGGGACCAAGCTGCCGCTGGCGGGGTACCTGACACCCTGACCATGTCTCCCCCCCCGGGTGAGACCCTCCCTCCCCCTCCAGCACAGCTGCTCACGACAAACGGCCTTCACCTGTCCCCGCCCCGGCCTCGGCGGGGAGGCTGCGGGCACTCTGCGGCCTGGCACCCCCTGAGACAGCGCCCGGACGGCGGCGGGGCAGCCCGGGCGGGCGGGAGCGGGGCCCCCGCGGCCGGGGGGAGCCGTGGGGAGCCGGGGCG